TACACAACACTTCTGAGAAAAACTAGACTACATGACCTCTTCATATATTTTTAAAATTCCATAAAATCCATAAAACTGTGGACTAGGTTAAAATGAATTTACAGCATCCTTTCCAAAACAGAAGCTACTTCCAGACTCTGCCCACTTGATTACTTGTCTGCTTTTCACAGACACAGAAGCATAAAAAAATGATTATGAGATTTCCCATTGTCCTTACTTAGGTATCAATAATTTTGCAGTAAGTAGATTACTTAATGGTAATAAAGTTATGAGGCCTCATTTATAATTTTCTTTTGCAATATGGCTAACTCAAGGACAGTATTCACAGGTCACGTTATTGTTAATATGTTTGAATAATCACAAGGTCATAGATTATCAAAGTGTTCTGCCACCTTTTGCATACCTGCAGCACAGAAACCATTTCCACTTAACTCTCAATTCTGACATAAATGCTAAAAACAAAATCTCAACTATTACAAAAATATGAATTAGGAAGTTATTCTAACATGACACATATTTTTCCACTGCCTAAAGAGTGCCTAATATAAAGACTGATTTCTGAAAAGCCAACTTCACCTAAATTTTCGCAAAATTTTACCGATGCCAAAAGAACAATAATTTAATGCCAAACATTCTGCATCCATGGGTGTACTAAAATCTGTCAGAGATGCCGCTGATCGCTGAGTTGATTATCCACAGAACTTGATAAAAAAAAAAATTCTGTATTTCCTAACATCACAACAACACATCAAAGAATTTGCTTCAACAACAACAACAAAAAAGCTTCAACAAAGTAAAGTAACATTCTCCATGTAGATTCAGCTGTCTCCCTGGAGTGGCCAGAAATTAGGCCCTGCAAGTTCACTACTGACTACACACGAGCTATCCACATGCTTTTTTGCAATGTGGATAGCCAGCCTCCCAGATCTAAGGGTAATAGACCTAAAGAAGCCTACTCCTCCCTGGCTATTACATGCCATTACGGTTAGAAGTCAACAGGAAACTCCACAGCTGAGGAGAACTGCTCTTTGCTTCCTGGAGTCTCTTTTTAGCATCTCTTGGTGGTGCTTCCTTCTAGAAGGTAATGCATACCTGCTCTTACTCGGTGCCCTGAAGTGTTAGGTTTGAATGCACCGCTCCAACTGCACTGCCATAATTAGATTGTAATAGCTGTTGTCTGTGCCAGGCCAATAGCTCCTCAGTACCTGGGAGCCTCTCACAGACACCTAAACCTTAGCCACTTGGGAGTTTCTGGTTAGTAGAAGCCACAATGACCAAAGCAGGAAATGTCAGCAAAATAGTGCTCTCCACAGGAGCAGCCACTGACTAGCAGAATTTGATGTTGTAATACCATAATGCCTCTCCCTTGGGATAATGGCACAGCTCTGAGTTTCTACTGTGACATCCAAAAATTCCCAAGCGGATTAACCTCCATTTACCATACCAACAGTGGAAACTCACATAACTCCACCTTTATGGCCGGCTCCCCTCTCCTGCCTCAGTTCCTCACTCCCTACAGGAATTTCCTAGATTACTCTGGTAGTTGATGCACACTCTGTTGTCAGGAAAACCCATCTAAGATTCAGAGCCCTATGAACCTTCTCTTAATAAGACTGGCTCTCATTGGAAATGATTGTTAGTACTTAGCATTGGCTGGCGTGGAAACGCTGGATTAATATTTGTCTTAGTTAGTGTCTTTCACTCTCCCCCAAGGAGCTGGAATCTCTACACAGACAGAACCTAGAATCTGGGAAGAGAATACAGTAATAGAACCTTTCATTCCTGTACTGCCTCATGTTTTAAAGTTGAGGGCTCAGAACTCCAAAGCATCATTTACTTAAAGTAGAACAGCTGGGAAAAGGCTGAATCAGAAACAAACTTTGGATATTTGGCCACAAAGAGGGATAAATAAACTATATGTGCACCCTAGAAAGAATTTAGTATATTATTTTGTACAGTCAAATGACACATTATGACTAACAGAACACAGACAGAAATTTTTTATTTTTTTTCTCTGAGACAAGATCTCACTGCGTTGCTCAGGCTGGCTCGAACTCCAGTCCTCTCGCCTTCACCTCCCAGGAAGCGGGGATTACAGTCACGTGCCATCATGGATGGCTGTAATTTTTATTTTTCAAGTTGGAGTCTTCCTGTGTAGCCAAGGCTACCCACAGACTCGCAAATCTCCGGGATGATCTTCCTGAGTGTTAGGATTTCCATCATAAGCCACTGCACCAGGCCCAATTCCAATTTTTATTTCAGAATTTTTATCATTAGTAATATCATCTGGACTGCAAAGAGGAGAATCTGGACTCACTCAATTTGTATTTTATGATCCTAGGCTGAATTCGTAAAATGGTGATCAAGCATAAAGATACAAGTGGATAAACTCTGTGTGTGTGTGTGTGTGTGTGTGTACTGGGATTGAACTCACAACCACACACTTGTCAGGTAGGTGCATATGGTGCTGAGCTAAAGCCCCGGCCCAGAAGTAGATAAATCTTAAGACATAAAAGAACATTTATGTGATCTATTCCTTGTTCTAAATCTAAGTCAAGTACATAACTTCCTTTTGCAATTATCTAAGATATACAAGGTTTCCACTCAGGAGTTTAGAACCTCTAATCTTGCCAGCTTATCTTATGACTCTGATGACTCTACTTTTTCCCAAGAAGCACTCCCACTGAAAAGGGCAGAAATAACATCATTAGGACCAACTCAATTTATGTCTCAGATACTGCTGTTTGTTGTACTTACCATGTGATAAACTTTCCTATAAAAACTATAAGCTCGAATATGAAGTTCATAGGATTTTAAGATTAGAATAAATGTGATGAATACTAAATTCACTTTTCCTATTACAAATGAAGAATCTCAGCCCAAGGAAGGCAAGTGATTTTACTACATTAACATACCAGTAGTTAGTAAGTAGAGATTTGAGGCTTCTGATTACGTGGCCATCTGTTATTAACAAAAATCTGTTTTCTACACACAGAATTTTCTTTAAAATGTTACATTAAACTTTTAGTTTGAACATGGTGGCACAATCCTGTACCCCCAGCTGAGGTGGGAGACTCACAAGTTCTGTTCTAGCTTTTCTCCCCTCAAATTGTTATTACTATTAACCTTATTTTCTAAATTCACCTACATTTTTGGTATACAAATACCACCCAAAGCTATGATACAAACAGTTGATATCACCTGATCATACACACCTCTCTGCACTCCCATCAGATCCTCTGAGGTAGACAGTCAATGCCCCCCCCCCATCACCACCAAACTCTGACGCCTCAGACAACTAAGATTCCAGTTACTCTGTGGTTCTGTCCCACTCTAGACCTGGTTTTTAAAATCTCTAATCTCTTAGGAATTCAAATGGAATTTTTCAAATCCCTATTTCCCAAAGGAAATTACTCTAGGGATATTTGAAATTGTTCAATTTCTGAATTTTTTAAATATGTGTTCAACAATATTGAAATTTACACATAAGAAAAAAAGATACAAGACCTGAACATAAACAGCTCTGAAAAGATATCTGACAGGTAACAAAGTGTGGGATTTTGTTCTGCTAAAGTTGTGCAAGTCAGGGCATTGTCTTTATCAAAGTTTACACATGGAAATGCCCTACAGCCAAATCTCTTTTACAAGAAAATAAAGTAAGTGTTCAGTGGAGGATTCAATTTCCAGCCATTTGTTACTAATAAAAACCCATTTTTTATATGTAGAATTTTCTTTAGAATGTTATAACATGAAAAATTTAAGCTGGGTGTCATGGTGCATGCCTGTAAACAGAGCACTCAGAAGGCTAAGCCAGGAAAATAGCAAGTTTCAGGCCAGCCTGGGCAATTTAGCAAGACCCTGTCTCTAATTAGATAAGCACTGTATTTTTATAATAGTGTGATCATTAATTAGATCATAAAGATCAGTATATTACTTTACCAATCAAATAAATATTTTTCAGTTTCATCTTCTATGTCATTTTACTTCATTAATTTTATCCATTAAATTATAAAGTAGGAGGATAAGGAGAAAGGACATTGCAATAAAACATGAAAGCTGTAAAAAATTTTTTTATCTGTATCTATTTCACTAGAATTCTAGCTAAAATTCTAGAGTCTTGGGACAGCCCTGGCTCTAATTAAACAGCTTCATGCCTCAAAAGCTGAGAAATGGAGACAAGGAAACCTAACTACCCTCAGAATTATTTGGGAAGCCATGAGACTTTTGTGAAATATGCTGTTATTCCACCACTACTACGTTGCTTTCTCTCACAGAAAGGTTGTGGGGATAGCTGAGGAGGAAACATGGGCTCCCGCCTCCAGCTGCTATGATACCCAGGCAAGGGGGAAAGTGGGCCAGGGGGGTGAGAAGACAGCGGAGCTGGCTGTGCAGAGGGCCAGAGCCGTGAAGGCGGTCTCCACGTTTCTGCCCCATCCCTCTGCACAGGTAAATTGATGGGAGTTTCCTCTCCCAGCTTCAGACCAGAACTCCAGGGAAGAACCGGGAAGGAATGGCCAGAGAGGAAGTTAAAGTGAAAAAGAGGTAAGGAAAGCGAATCCTGTCAATCTGTCCACTCACTTCTACAAAGACTCCTAGAAAAAAGAATAGAGTCAGTCAGGTACAAGAGCATTCACTCAGATTTCCAGCTACTTGGGAGGCAGAGGCAGAAGGATCAGTGGAATCTAGAAGTTCAAAATCATCTTGGTAAGATAGTAAGACCCTATCTCAAATTTTAAGAAAACAAAAGAAGGCTTCTTAAAAAGAAGTGGTGATGAGAGCCCAGCTGAGCCATGAGCAGGGTGTGGTGGAGCTTTTCAAAAGGCTTCCCACTTCTTACCAGCCTTTCAAACACAGTTTCAAAACAACCTGCCGCCCACTGGTTAGCGACTGGGTACACTGGTGTCATCCACATTTGACTAAAGAGTACCCTTAGGGCTAAGTGACTTGCCTAAAGTCATCTAATTCAAAACTGGGAAATTAGGATTAAAACCCAAGCTCTGATCCTTTTGTGGCCCAAAATATAATGACTGGGTTTTCACATCAGTACGTGAAATGTGCCTCCCTCAAAACTTTACTACGTGGACATTACCAGTCTGACTTGGAAAATAATAAAGTAAAGCCAAGCTCTTTCATTCTACAGCTGTGAGATCTTTTTTCTTTTCTTATCAGGAAATGGTGGAATTTTGCATAGTGACTTTTAAGTTAATTATCCTTCTTTAGATCCATGGTAGAATATACTTGGAGTAATCTGATATAGAAGAGTATGAAATATAATCTGAATATAATATCAGCAATGGCGTTTTATAAAATAGATAAACTTTAGCTTCTAAAAAATGCTAGAACCTTTAGAAAAACTAGTGGAGTCCTGGAGTAAAGCACAATATTATACACTGGCCAGAGATCCTATCAGTGACTGACCAGGTTCTGTGCACTATTTGCAGCCCCAGCAAGTTTGATGACTACTTTGGAATTTGTTCTAGAAATTACAGACTGATATTCTGATCTGAATCAAAAGAGAATAAAATGAAACATTTGCCACATGCCTTATGTCTCATTTAAGGACTTACATTTAAGGATATTGCTCCTAGGTTGGGGAATGCCAGTAACTCCTCGCAAACTCCTGGGACTGCTTTCCACAACTGGGAGGTAATAAGCAATGAAGAAAGAAGATGAAGAAGAAATATACAAGTGTATGCAGAAAACTTTATACTGTATATCGTTATGCAAAGTGCCCCAAAACAGGAGGAAAAGCGGAAGGGATTAGCCACAAAAGCCCTGAAGGAAAACAAATGAGATGAATCAATACTGCCCAGATGAAACAAGAACTAGAAAAAGGGGAATGAAATGACTGATTTAGTAACAACTAAATGATAAAGAACAGAACACATTTGGAAGGGAATGTATCCTCCTTGTCTCATAAGTGTAGGGGTCCTACAAAGTCCGTGGAAGGATTTATTGCTTCTTTCTCTCTTCCTATAGCAATTTGCTTCTACTCTATGGAAGCATTTTAATTTAATCTATGGCATTTTTCCTAATACCAACATATACAAAATCAGACCTGAACTTAATCACCCTACCCTATACCGAGCTATCCTTTATCCTTTCACTGTACGAAGCCTCAAACCTAGCACATGATGAAAAGGGCATCCACTTAGATCTAGATTGTGTCAGTCAGATCTCAGCAGGGAACAGATGGCAACTGAACACTGTTTAAAGAGTGACTGCTTACAAGATGTGGACAGATACGGGAACCCCAGTGAGGAACCACAGGGCAGCTGGAAGCAGAAGGAAGCCATCAGGATCCCCGAGCACAGAGGCCAGGTGAGACAGCGAGTACCCTAACTGGGAAAGTACCGAGTTAGAGCCAAGGTCCGTCCATCAGGAGCTATGACCTTCTGCAGGCTTTCTAAATTACCACAGCTGTTGTCAAGACATGCCTACACACACAGAAAGGTGTCCAGGAATCCTGGGTAAGCACGGAAGTTGATACACAAGCTCCTGGGGAGCTTCTCCATGGGAAAATAATACATGACGAAGGAGACATCCTGTCTCCATCTTCAACAGTTATCAGCTACACGAAAGACTGGTTGTCCCTTATGGGCCTTAAAAGAAAAGTGGAACAAGAGAGAAGGGCACAATTACGTGCCAGCACAGCACTAAGTACCAAGACTCAAGTCAAAATTAAAACTTTTTACAGGGTGAGAGTAGGACAGTCACAAAATGAAAAATGCAAATGTTTGAGCAAACGGCAGACATTCCTTTGTCCTTTGTTTTTATCTTGAAAAATATCCAAAAATCTAGCTTTGGGCTAGCTTGTTTCAACATGCTTAGTGACACACTCGGGGCACTTCTTTCTTGCTTGAAATTAACACACGGTCCAGACCCATGAAGATCAATAAGTGAGTCTATTCCAAAAAAGTTAGTTTCTAATAGCCAATACTAAGAGAATGTGATCGCACCCTCAGTGTTTGGAGATACAACCACCAATCAGTTCATGGGAGCCAAGCACTGGGGACTCCAGCCAACTTTTACAAGGCAGTGAAGCCAAGAATGACTGGCGGGGCCTGGGTGCGACTCCACCGCACAGGCTCGAGGAGGGCTGCTGCTTTGGTTGGAACATGACACGTAGATAAAGGAGACGCTGTATTTCAACATGAATGTCAACAGTTGCTGTTGGGAGCCACGGCCGAGCCCGGTCGCCTTACTTGGCGGACGTGAGGCCTGTAGGAAAGAGCAAAGCCTGAGCTAGATTACCCCTCCCATCGAGTGTGCTAAGATGGCGCTTATCTCCTGCTTCCTGCTTGGTAAACAACCCGCCCTGTAAGATCTCCAGCTTCCTGCTTGGTAAACAACCCGCCCTGTAAGATCTCCTGCTTCCTGCTTGGTAAACAACCCGCCCTGTAAGATCTCCTGCTTCACAACCCGCCCTGTAAGATAGTCTGCCTAGCAACAACTGATGTTAGCCAATCAGCCCGCATCGCGCGCTTTGAACTGATTGGCCACTGTAACCCTATAAAAGTGAGTGCCTCTCCCGCCACGAATAAAGAAGAAGAAGAAGAAAAGAAGCAGAAGAAGCAGAAGAAACAGAAGAAGCACGCAAGGAGCCGCGGAGAGCAGACCGGTAGAGGCTTCGGGACAGACTGTAGGGAGAAGCACGCAAGGAGCCGCGGAGAGCGGACCGGTAGAGGCTTCGGGACAGACTGTAGGGAGAAGCACGCAAGGAGCCGCGGGGAGCGGACCAACAGAGGCTTCGGCCGGGAGGATTCCCGGGGCAGGCTGTACGGAGAAGGAAAATAAAAGAAAAGGTTGTCCACTGCCAGACTTTGTTGTGTGTCCTTCCTGTCGGCCGGGAGTGACACCGACAAGTTGCTTCATCTAACCAAGTGTTTTCTAGTAACAGATGCAAAATTTGTCAAGCTGTTGCTTTATGGGGTATGTATGAAGCCATCAGTATTATGAAAATATGAAATGACAATAAAAGGTGTTACATGCCACAGCACCAGCACTTCAAGGCCCTTAAAGGGAATTCTTGCATAGAAAAGGGTACAATATACACAGATTCTAAACTGCAAATAACACTTTATTGTTTTTAAATATGGGTTATAAGAGGTTTACATTTTTTGGAAACATGAACTAAATTATTTTAGTTAGGTAGTAGTAAGGTGCTAATTAAAGCAGAAACTCAAAATGTTCAGTATGTCAACAACCAGACCCATTATAGTACAGACATCACATGAACAATTAGTAAGTCAAACTGGGGCTCAAGAGTCTTATAATAGTTGCTTATGAAAGCAGAATATGTTCAGGGCTCCAGACATTAGAAATTTAGGTAAGTTAGACTTCTCTCACAGGTATACATAAGCCAGAGTGGAAATGTAGTCTTTAATCCAAGAGAACCCAGATGAACGGATGAGAAGTCAGAAACCTGAGTTTTTATCCCTCTATTTGCATTATGTTCTATAAAGCTTCAATTCCCTCATGTATAAAATGAGAGCACGGCTTACTTCAGAGCCCTTATGAGCATCAGTGTATAAAATATCAGCAGTGATTTATGATCCTTAAGTGTAAATCAACCTAAGAAGAAACTTGTATTCACCCCATGTACATGCAAAGTTAAGGAGAGAAATTCAAATGATTTCAGTACCCACGACTTCTGGGGACCTAAAGTTAAAGCAGCAAGAAGCCCCTTTCTGCATCAATTGTTAAAGCAACTTCTTGAGAAACTCTGACATCCGTTCCTAGTCTGCACAGCAATGTAACCCTAAAGGGCCACTCATCTCGGGTCTTGCATTCTACTCTGCTGCCTGAGCCTGGTGCCGTGGAGGAAAGAGGTACAAGGTAGGCCCTCCTGTCAGTTACACTGTCTCCTGACATAGCTCAGACTGAAGCCCAAAGCTCAGAATCTAGACACAACACTCACTTATACGTTTTTCCCAATTTTTATTTTTTATTAGTACATGTTTGCAGTACATACTGATCACACTCCTTGTGGGGAGTTGGGTACATGTGCATAACACATCTAATTCTCTTTTTTATCCCCTTTGCTTCCCTTACCCTCCCTCCATCTCCAACATATAAAAATCTTCCTATTTCTTACTATCTTTTATTTTGTTCTTTCTTTATATTTTGAGTTTCTCATATAAGAGAAAAACATACCCTATTTAAACTGTGTGTCTAATTTATTCCAAGTAACATTAAGGTCTCAAGGTGCATCCATTTTCCTAAAATAACATGTTTATCCTTCTTTATGAAAGAGTAGTACACTATGGTCCACAAACACACTGTCTTTATCCACTCGTCTGTTGACGGACACATGGGCTCTTCCAAGGTTTAGCTATTATGAGTTGTGTTGCTATTGCTATAAACACGGGTATGCCTGTATCACTGTGCTATGATATCTTTAACTCTTTCAGGAAGATACTTACAAGGGGAATAGCTGGGTTGAACAGAGTTTCTATTGAGAACTATCCATATTGATTTTCATAATAGTTTCACTAATTTATATTCCCACCAACAATGTAGAAGGGTTCCTTTCTTCCCACATCCTTGCCAGCATTTCTTCTTTGATTTCTTGATAATAGACATTATTTCTGGAGTAAGATCAAATCTCAGTGTTGTTTCAATTTGCATTTATCTAATGAACAAAGATGCTGAACATTTTTTTCATGTATTCATTGGTCATTTGTACTTTTTCAGAGAAATGCCTATTCATTTCAACTGCCTGTTTCTTGAACAGATCTCTAATTTTGGGGGGTCAAATTTTTTGAGTTCTTTATATATTTTTTAGATTACTCTGCTCTCTGGGTAGCTGGCAAAAATGTTTGTCCCATTCTGTAGGTTGTTTCTTCATTCTATTGTTTGTTTCCATTGCTGTGCAGCTTTTTGATATAATTCCATTTGTTGGTTCTTGATGTTACTTCTTGTGCAACTGGAATTCAATCCAGAAAGTCCTTACCTACTCCTTTGTCTTCAAGAATTTTATGTATTTTATCTTCTAGCAGATTAAGGGTTTCTGTTTTAACATTTAGATCTTTGATCCATTTTGATTTTATGTTCATACATGGTGAGAGATGTGCATTTGGATTTGATCTTCTGTATG